TGGGTGGGAGTGGCAGAGGGTGTGAGATGGCCGGAGTGAAGTTGTCTCGGTGGAAAATTATGGGAATCGTTGCACCAACCTCAGCCCTAGCACGAAGCCGCACCCAACCGCCAGCCCAGCCCCAGGCCAAGCAGTTACACAGCACAGACACATCACATACAAATTATCGCCAGTAAAGCACCGATGTAGCAGCACGGGTGAACTCACTTGTGGTGTTTGCACCACGCCACGCCGCCCGTCACGAAACATGAAGGCAAACCGGTGATTCGGTTGTTCGAACCACACATTTGCCGGCTGGTTTTGAAATCAAAACAACCACCCACATCAGCTAGCGAGTGCCGGCGCGGCGACGATCACATGGCTCGGGTAGGAAATTATGTTCAGAGAACGACGGGTCGCCTGGGATATCGACCTAGGGGAGGAGAGGCCCCGGTAGGGTGGGGTCGCCGCCGCCTGCGCAAAGCCGGGGCGTCGTGACTCATCGCACCAACGGCGCAATGCATACATTAGCCAGGGACATTAGGCCACCAATTAGGCGAGAAAGGTCAATATCTATGTACATTATTGATTTCAGAGCATAGCACGACACTCGTAGTTGAACGCGGCGCATTTTGGAACGGAACTGCCAGGTGGCCGATTAGCCCCGCCCGCTTCCGTGGTCAGACTTTACCGGGAATGCACGCGTGTGCGGGTGAGTTGCCTACTCACTCGATCCGTAAGAAATTGTCCAGAAAGTATACCGCTTTTCTCAAAGATTTATTCGGCGAATTACGGGAGCTCGGCGCCTGCGAGACTCGGGGTAGGCCACCCCGCGGTACACGCATGCGTCGCATGCAAGATGTTGCCTACCCATCAGGCGCTATAGGAGGTGCTGAGACCGAGTGGGGTTCGCTTCGTCACTGCGAATGAACGGCGTCCTTTCTGGAAGATCACTGAGGTGGCGCATGGTCAGAGAGACGCCAGACAGCGCGTGTATGCGTTTGCAGTGTAACTACGAATGTGGACAGGGGAAAACGCCCCTCGCTGCTGAGCTACTTGTCCAAATGTTTGATCGAATACAAAGGGACGGGGACGGCTGAGCTTCTCCCGGGTCGAGCTCGGCACGGCGCTGCTATGTGTTGGTTGGGTGTGTTGTGCTTCCCCTCGCCCTGCTCGCTTTGACTTGTGTCCACGGGACGGGCAACACGCGCCCCCGCCACCCTCTCGCCCACGCCCCCAGGCCCCCACACCACAGCCCCCGCGCCCCAGACCAGACGGAACACTCGGCGCCGCCGCTCACCTGCAGGATCATGGAGGTCGAGATGAGGCCCAGCATGAGGGAGTAGAACTCGTGGCGCGGCCCGACCTGCAGGATGTACTTGAGCTGCGAGGCGTTGGCCGTGAGCAGCGCGATGTCCAGCATGCCCTGGGCGATGGTCTTCTTGGTGGCATACCGGTTCGCGTCCAAGGGCTTGGTAGGCTGCAGGCAAACCGAGAAAATGTTGTCGCTTAGATAGTTGCATTTCAGCTGGACAAATATTTATTCATTTTTGAGTCCTACTTTTTGTGTTACGCCGACCTAGCCGTATACACCGCAATGACAGGTCTGGTCTATTCTAAGACCCGTGAAAAAATGTGGTCTCTCCACATAGACTAAGCTAACAACGTAGTCTCTGAGTCCCAGGCAGTCTCACCCACCCGAGGCTGGCCGACCCACGACCTACTGGCTGCGGCGCGCATCACGGGCCCGGATGCTCGGGCGGGTTGTATTGTTTCCGTTGGCGGGGAGATGGAGGATGGAGCGGGGGGCAGAGGGACCAACCCAGGAGCGCGCCCATGTTTTAGAATACAGGACAGGAATACGCAGGTCTCCTCCTGGACACGTTGGCGCCGCGCCACACCACTCCAGGTCGATACTATTCACCCCCTCTCATCGACCAATCAGCCCTCCTGTCCTGTCCGGCCGCGCGCTCTGCCACAATGCCCCC